TCCAGCTCCTTCTGTATCCTCGGGTTTCACCTCGACAACGATATTCCCAGTCCTTGTTTGAGGCTCTTCCAAACTGGAACAGTCTTTGTGTTCAACATCCTCAGCCCAGCCCAGGGGACAATGTATTTGAGGCAGGTGTGCAAGGAACCTTCCCTTTTCTCAGTCCAATATGCCATGAATTAAAGTTTTTCAAGCATTTAACCACATTCCCACACGACTGACCCCATGGTGACAGAGGGACGTCCTCCCTTCGATGGGTAACCCTGAAAACAACAAACAGAATACACTAAAAAAGCCTCGAATTTGATTAGAATATGTTACCTCTAAATTTCTAAGGATTCCTACTGGCAGACAAGCTGCTTCAAGTTCTCCTGTGCAAGACTAGAAGGCCCTTCGGCGAGTTTTAATCCTGGTTGGGTTTGGGGTTTTTTTTAACCTCTGGAAGAAATTAATGGAAAATGGAAGAAATTAATGGAAAATGGAAGAAATTAATGGAAAATGGACGAAATTAATGGAAGATGGACGAAATTAATAGAAGAAAAGCCGGGATGCTGAAAGACTCTACCCAAAAAGGACGATGAAAATGGGGATTGTATTTATCGCGACAGAAGTATTTTGAGGAAACCCCACACTTTAAACCTTAACTGCAAGTGTTTGACCACACTGAAACCAAGCTATTTATGACTCAGCACCTCCTCTGGTGCGTTCACATCGATAGCATCTCGTTATTTGCATGGCCTGATGAATAATTATAAAACACAAACACAGCAGTCACCACCAGCACCAGCCCACAAGTCCCAGCTCGCCACTGTCCTGCCCAACAAGCTCCACCACGGTTTGTGCTCAAATGTGCCATTTTCATCTCGTTGTAAACGGCCTTTTTTTGGTCGTTTCTGACCCGTTTTAATCCCACACATCCATCCCCTTCTCCAGGAGCCACCACAGCAAGCTGAGGACAGACCAGAAGAGTGTTCTTTGACCACCCCTTTCTCCGCGCGCTCCCGAAAGAGGGAAACCGCAAACGGTTGCTCTGCCAGCTCCACTCTCCCCATGGAGCCAATTTAAAACAGGAATCACGCCCCAAGGCTGGGTCTGGATTTCCTCAGCACCGAGGGGCTGGAGTGGAACAAGCAGAACGGGGACTCAGCACATTGTGCTCGTCAGCTGGAGAAACAAACCCTGAAATCGAAGGCTAAAGCGTGAAAAAAGTACTAAGGGTACAAAGAATAGTAATTTTTAATAATTATTTTGCCTTACCACGATAAACTTTGCAAAATTCGGCCTCTAACCGACTGCTTTAAAGCAAATAGTTGTTAAAAAAGGTAACAAATTTAAAAACTCTGCTTGAACCAGAAACCCCAAGAGCAGACAACCACAAATCTGAAGAGACTTCCAATCTTGAGAGAGCAGAGTTTTCCCTTGGATGTTGAGAAAGGGAAATAAATCTACAAGTTTTTCCTTTCTCCCTAAGAGCAAGAGACAGGAAAGAGTTAATTCCCAGATGTCTGCTGGTATCAGTTCTGCACATTTTTGTTCACACAGGCCCATCTTATGGTCAGAAAAATTAAGGAGCATAAAGCTCTTTAAACCCTCGTGCGCTGCATAATCGTGAGAGGTTCCTTCCAACCCAAACAATTCTGGGCTTCCCTGCAAGATCACGGGTTTGGCTGCAGGTTTTTGAAGACAGGCTGGTTAGAAACAAATAATGAAAACAGGAAAAAAAAAAAAAAAAGCCCAAGATGATAAACAGACCCGTGTTTAGGGGTTTTTTTTTGGCACCTAAATCTGAAAAAGTTTATATAGTCCTATTGTATGTAGATATGAACGTGTATACTTACTGGAACTTTTGCTCTGTATGTCAGTGAAATCTGATACAAAACTCAAAAATA